GCCGGGGATGGCTAGTGTGGCTTTTCTCTCTGCTCGTCTCCTGTAAGGCGCAAGCCCATACTATACTACTGTATCAAATAGTGTGCCATGCTGCGTAGCGTGTAGTCTGCGATCTACACTAAAGAGAACGATGGCCACAAGTCCATCATCCCTTATCCACAACGCAAAAAAAATAAAAGTTGACTTCTTGAGCGAGGGAAGGTGAAACGGGGATGGTGGGGTTTAGTTATTTCTTGAAATCCCGGGGGTGCGAATGAAATTATAGCAAAACCTCAGGGCTCTAAATTTGGTTAATCCTTCATCATTATCAGGTTATCAATATCGATTTGGATGGAAATTCCCTGGTAAATGAATTAGTAAAGGTCATTGAACCAGGCAAAATCCTATGCGCGGCAGTTTTCGTGTGAATGACCGTTTTAAATAGTGATAAATTGTCAACTGTCGAGAACAACACTTGTCAAGGAATTAAATTGTCAGGAATGACACTCATCTAGCGATCAGCTGTTGTATAAAGCAGGAATGCCATTTTGCACTCACATTCATTCAGGTACCAAATCCCCTGTAAGGCAGAAACAGATCTCTATGAAACCCCAATTTCCCTGGGTAAGCCATTTTGCACTCATATTAATTGAAAGTACCATGGCAAAGCCCCAGTAACAGATCTCTACGAAATCCAATTTCCCTGGGTAAGATTCAGATGGATGAAAATAAGAAGTCGCAAAATAAGTGTGTAAGAAACTCAATTTATTTCTGGATCGCATATATTATTTGCATCATCCAGCAGTAATTACATTATTCTAAGACATATTTCTGTATTTAAACAAACATGGGGGAATTGGTCAAGTCTATTATTTCAGGACATCCAACAGAGAGTCTTCTCTTCTTATTCCCTGTACTCACATTGTAGCAAGGTGAGGGAGTAGACAAATCTATTACCTCAACTTCAGATGAGGTGCAAGGGAGTTCAAATTTATTCAGAGTTACATTTTGTACAGATTGTTGCCTGGGCAGTTGAGGGTCTGCGACGTTAAACTCATCATACAATCTGAATGTTCCTGTATCTTCAGCAATTCTTGTTGCGTTACTGCAGCTGAAAACAGAGCCACGTGAAATTCTGCCCAGAAAGTCGTCGAGCTGGAATGACTGCTTCTGGGCCTCTTCTTTGCTAATTTGCAAGTTCTTTGGCAGTTCGAAGACGCTGCTTTCTGTTGACGTTTGTTGTTGGTGAGTAATTGCTTCAGTCCAGTTATACAGACCGAGATTTTCAGTTTCTTTGAAGCCATCTTGAACAAGTTCAATATTGCTCAGCGGTTGTGCATCTGCTGACCCATCCTCTGCAGATTCCTCAGATCCACCACTGTGCTCACAGTCGTCACCAGCAGGATCCCAGTCATCATTTTCTCCCGCACATAAATTGCCCCCTGTATAGCACGGAAGCTCATCCATAGAACCAAACTGTACCCTCATTTGTTCCGGCAGGCTAGGGCAACCAGATGTGAGCGTCATGTATTTTGTGGAAAAGTAGTTTACTCTGAGATTTAAGCTGTATACAGGAGCAACACTTTAGCCATCAGTAAATAACCAAAATTCAGTGAGTATTTCAAGCTTAGCACGTCTAGGAATCCTGTAATACCTCTGCCAAGAAGGAAGGGTGAGCATAGTGTAGGCAAGTTTTATCTTATTTGCAAGCCCAGAAAGAGATTTGAAGGTAGCAGCTGCTTTTCTTACCGCCAGTGATCCTAGTGGATGCTGCCAGGCCCACTCAAACTGCAATTCGATTCATTAGACAGCAATTAGTATGCTGCTTCATTTCATAATTAAGGCAAAAAGAACTGGCTCTCATGTTAACATCATTCTATGCCCATCAATGATCAAAAAAAGTTTGTACTTGCTGTGGGTTACAAAGCTATTAGAATTCAGAAGTGTAAGTCAACAGAGAACTATGGCACGAAGAGGGCAAATCAGAGAGGAGAACAAAAGATGGAGCTAAAAAGAACAAATCTATTGCATAGAATCCACAATCTGCAAAAATGATTTTGCCTACGCTAACCAAGCGGTCACAGAAAAAAACTCATAAACACTAAGGTCCCGTTTGGATTGTATTTTCCGTCATTTTTCATGGAAAAATTACTGTAGCGATTTGATGTATGTGAGGAAAAAGGTAATAGGGAAATGTGTTCACGGAAAATGACGAAATTTTTCTACGGAAAACAGCAATCCAAGCAAGGCCTAATCTTACGACCACTCACCAGTATAGCACTCAATTTAGCAGCTTAAAATTTTTTAAAAAAATGAACTTAAAAACAAGCAGTCCAAGGCGTGTCAACGACATTTACAAAAGGTAACATCTAACTCACTGCTAGTGCAACAGAATTGAATCGTGTAACATGTACCTGGAGAGCGGCAACGTTGGTGGGGAAGCCATAAATGCAAAGGACCATCTCCCAAGGTCGCCTCTTCTTGGTCCTCCAAGCACCGCTCCCTATCTCCCCGTTGTGTTGCCTTATTCTGCGACGAGGATTCACTGTAAACCTACAGCACCCACCCAACACTCCACGACATTAAATATATGCTAAATTGTATACAAAGAAAATTGAGAAACTTGGCAACCGATCACTAATCAATTCCCCTGATTCCAAAACACTCCCAAGATAAAGCTAGGGAACCAACTCAAGTTTCAAAAATGGATCCAGAAATGACGGGGATCCAAACCTGCTACATACCCGATATAAGAGGAACCTTTGAATCTTGGGGAAAGCGAAGTTAGTAGATATACCGCGTAAAACTTTCTCCCTCCTTTTCCTGCTCTTTCTTCTTCTCCTTCTGCTTCACATAAAGTCGGTGGCGTTTGATCATTTTCTCCTTGTTCGGGATTTAGGGTTTCCGGTGTTTCTGTTCGCCCTTTCCTTCTCCCCATCTCTCTCTCTCTCTCTCTCTCTCCTCTCTGTGTTATGGATTTGCTAGCTATCCTTTGGATCAGGCGTAATTCGACCGTTGTGATTGGATCAATATTTTGAATTCTGCGTCCCTTTTTCGAATAAAGATCTGACTGGCTCCAATAGCGGGCTAACGAACATGAGAACGTTTTTTTCTGTTTGGGCCTTACGATTCCCAGTTTAAAAAGCCCATAGTTCGTGTACCCTGTATATTTGGGTTAGAACCGGTTTGCTTTATTTATTATTAATTTCTTTTAAATACCCTCAAGGTCAACATACTAGTGCAATGGTTCTAAACATTTTTTTTTTTTTTGTCGCAACGATAACATTTGTATAATCTATTCTAACCTAATCTAAGAGAAGGGGAAGCCAATGGAATTTTTTAATTGAAGGAAGCCACAGTTAAGTTTTTTTTGGTCGCAACCATAACATTTGTATAACCTATTCTAACCTAGTTTAAGGGAAGGAGAAGCCAATGGGATTTTTTAATTGAAGGAAGCCACAGTTAAGTGGCACAGTGGAAAGCAAGGGTTAAACCCTTGACCTCCCACTCCCACCAAGACTTAACAAGAGCCCAAGAGGCTGTTGGCTGCAATGGTTCTAAAGAATTAACTCCTGAATATGTCTGTCCCGGAGAAAAAAAATTTTTTATTTGAAACTGCAGGGTATCCGTATGGATGTCCAATTTCAATGTCAAAATTGAATTGAAAAACTTGCACTGCTCGGATTCTGGAACTGCTTCTATTGCCCAATGCATCACACACACTGAAGACTGGAACTCCATTGTACGGCAGCGTCTTCGCATGAAATCTACAAGTCAATCTGAGTTGCTTTTCTTGAAACACGCCATCATTTATGGATCATATCCGGTTTAAAGTTAAGGATTCAAATAATTTGGCAATCCATTTCCAGGCATAAGATCAAACAAAAACACACACATGCAAATTTAATTCCCAGTATGTTGGAAAAGGAATTCATCTATCTTAGTCTCAGCCTGTCAACAAGATCCATAAAGATTACAATTTCCTAAAACACGTTTTTGACCTTGCGATGTTACAACATAGATGTACTTCAGATATACCATTTGCTTGTAGATGCCCATTCCCATCAAAGAAAGCAAACCCCTACAAACATTACCCAGCGCGATGTCTTTAGTAGAAAAGGGGGTTAAACAGACATGCTGTAATGTAATCTACACATCTGCTTGTGGACACAGTGACTAATCTTAAATATGTTGACTACAACACTCGTAATCAATCACAATTTATCAAGATGTTCATCCGAATGCGCCTGGTTTAACTGGATCTTTGCAGCTCTTAGAGCCCTAAGAGGTCAACAAGAAAACAATTGTAAATGATGTTTCCCAGAAGACAACCTTTACAAGCAATGATCCTAACAGAACAACTTTTACAAGTAATTATCCTAATTTTCCTGTTGACAAGCTTCTTGCATGAATAAACATTCTCAGATACAAGACCAGAGAACATTCATATCCAGTGAAAAGCAACAAAGTTTGACAAATTTCCAAGAGATAATGGATCTCTACATCTATAAAGTTCGAAAATCCATATACTCAAGAAAAGTCTTCTGAAGTTATCCAGAGATAGGAAATCAACTAAGATCTCTCAATGTAATAACAACTAGACACATGCAAACCATATTTTGACATGTAAAAGCTTCGTCTACAGGAAGATTTACAATAGGACAACTTACTAGCTCTTTTATCAGCTTCATACAGGAAAGAAGCATCAATAAGTGGAGTTTCCTTCTACCTAGTACACAACTGAACAAGTTCAGAAAAAGGAGAAAACGTTTAGAGGAACAATTACTACCAAAGCAGCCACAAGATTGAGTTCTAAAGACGTTTAGCATTATTGACTAATGGGTTTGATTTCTGGTTATCCAAAGCGAATGATCAATCACTGAGGCTTAACTAAACTGAAGCCTCCATCCAAACATGTTCCTTCCAAAGTCAACCAACTTCGATATCAAGGAAGAAACAGAACATTGCTCAGGCTCAACTAGACAGTAAGTTCAATATATCCATAAAGAGACACCAAGAAAGAAATTCCCAACACAATGTATATTATTACGAAAAATAACCTACATTCCACGCAGGTATTCTCGTGGTATTTTCATAACAGTAAAGCTTTACAATTAAGATGATACAGACTCCTAAACTCGTAGCCCTAATTGAAAAGCAAAATTACAAATGGAAAGCGAACACAATTTGAGTTCAGTCCATAGCATACAATACAACAAGTGGAGTAACAAATCACAAAACCTAATCCCACCCAATGATCAACCTTTACCACCGGGATCATCAGTCGGCCTTTTCAGAAGCTGGAGAAGAGGACTCGGAGCCCACCAAATTCCTCCACAAATATCTTCCACTTGCCATGTCCACGCACGTCCAAAACCCTTTCCCAATTGCCCCACATACCTATTAATTCAGAAAGAGAGAAGGGGTTAAAAATTTACATGAACCCAAGATAATTAGACAATGTAAAGAAAAGGAAAAAGGCTGAAAGTTAAAGGGGGAACCTTGGAGGAAAAAGAAGGAGACTTTGAGAGGTTATCTGGGGAATTGCATTCTACAGTGTTTAGGGTGTCGGTGTCGGAGTCAAGATCGGTGGTGGGTTGAGATTTGAGATTTCGGAAGACGAAGAATCCGGCAAGAGTAGCAGACAGGAAGATTAGGATAATTCTCAATGGACACATTCTTCTTTTTCTTTTTCCTTTGCTTTACTTTTCTTAGCTTAGCCTATCTTCTGTTTTTCTTCCCTCCTTTGCTGCTTTGCTTTGAGAGGTTTTGAAGAGAGGAGAGAGAGAAAGACCGGGAAGCGCAGGCCTAGGTGGGAAGTGCGAGGTTCCTTTCCGGAAGGAGGTGGGTAAGAAGAAAAGATTTGGTGGCCACCAGCGACTTCTAAATGATCAAGTGGATTCATATAATCACATATTATTATTATTTATATAGAACATTCTTTTTTTTTTTTTGGTACGAATTTACGTAGAACAATTAATGATCATATTAGAATTTCCTAGGGTTATCCATAAATCATTAGTTGGTTTCTATTTTCATATTACTACTAGTTAATGCATGGTATGATTGGGTCTGACTTTTCTTTATTTGTGGATTTGGTCTCGGGTGTTAATTTGTTCATGACAAAAAAGTGAAATTAATTTGAGAAAGTATAGTAACAAGTGCCTCAAGAACACCTTTTTTTTTTTAAAAAAAAAAAAAATTCTTTTACTTATACATTACTATCTTTTTCTAGAATGGAAGTATTAACAAAAGGGATGGCTTTCTATTGGGAGGTATGTAACTATTATAGACTTTAATCTCAAATGATTTAGTTTTTTTTTTTAATTGGTGAGAAAGAATTTAAAAAAAGAATAAAAGAAAATTGCAATGATGGAGATTGACTGGGATGGCATTCGCCTTTCTTTTTTTTTAGAAAAAAAAAAAGAATTTGTTATTCCACAACGACCATAATAATTCTTTTCCAAGTGTTAGTTGGCGACTTTCCATTAATTCATCTTGTAACAAAATTAATTTGAATGGAGTTGACAAAATAGGGTAATGGGAACCAATCAGCTTCCAAGAACGTGTACATTTACCAGCATGATTTTGCTTGCTAGTAATGGATATGGAGGCCACCAAGGCATATCAGAAGTTGGAAATCACGTATGTCAAAAGCGCGGGGAGAAGCGTAGGCACGAAGACAAGTCAATCCGATTACTTTTCTAACACACACGCATCTCATTGGGGTTTAGGTGAACAACTCTCTAAATTAATTCATTTTTTTTTCCCCTTTCCTTTTTCTCAATTGGACCAATTTAATAGTAGTGGAAATTTCGTTCATAAACACAACCGTCATGCATTTTTTAGTGAAATGGAGATGGAGCTGCATGAACACTGAACCCAGTCAATGGAGACTTTTTAGTGCAGTAGTGGGCAAAGCCAAAATGGAACAAATCCACACAAATTGAATTGACAGAATGCATCATCACCGCCAATGGTCCACCCGTTCTTGAATTTTATGAACTTCTCACTCATCATTCATCAATATGCTACACAGACACAACTTCATGAAATATGATGATGGTGTTGATTGTGAGTTGTAACAGCCCAACTAAAACTTTTGACAGAGCATCACCAATGATATATTCAATTCCCTCCTCATATCATCATTCATTCCAGAATTTTGCACCATAATCCTTTAGTGTATCACGAATTTATCATAACACACTACTGCTACTTTTACTACATCATCTTGTTTTTTAGACCAAATAGAGAGTTAGTTTCATGGAAGAGGTGAAAATCAGAATATCAAAAGTTCAAAACATTAGAATCCAATTGTAGTTATATGGAAATTGAACGGAATTAAAAATCACCGGAAAGCCCCATAAAAAGTACACTTCATTCATCATCAGTAAGATATGTTAAATCTACTACCGACTTTACCATGAGCAGCTACAATATTATAAGTTTCTTCCTCTTGACCAAAACTTGATGAAGTATTGGGGCTAAAAAGAGAACTTGAATCTTGACTTTTTCACACTCGAAACTGTTCAGAATTCAAACGCTCTTCAATGACCTACAGCAACAATTTCCAATGCGCCTTCAACATCTGCAACCAAAATTTTTCTTGGTTAGACGTTCAACCAAGATATCATCAATCTGCGGACATTACATGAGCCTTTATTCATTCACATACCAGCCAATGTCAAGAGTCACTCATAGATCAAGACGACCAAATTAGTCAACGCCATACTACTAATATGCTTGGAAAGTAAAGGTGCACTTGAGCAGTATCTCCTAAGGCTTCACAATACGAGCAATCTTAGCAAGAACCGTCCTTAAACTTCGAATACCAGCTCCACTTTTTGAGCTTACCATCATCTGCAATAAATCCAATGTCAAAAAAAACAGGGATGCTTTTTCAGTGTGATAAATACAGGATGAAAGAAGCTAGATTTATTTGATGTTCACTATTACCACAGGTTGAACCGCAGACTTCTTTTCCTTGAGGTTCTGCAGCAACAGAGAGAGCTTATTTTAGTCTCAGCAAAGAGTAGAAAAACATTTGGAAGTAAAAGGGGAAATTATTTCTGCTGCATTCACCTCTTCTATTTGCATTGACCGACGTGCCACATCAATTGGGAAAACCATATCTGTCTTTGTCAAAACAATCTGGTACTTGGTTTGCGACCTGCACATTAACCATACAGAAGAAAGTAGACTTACAGGTTGAGACAAAATCTAACTTGAAAAAAGATATATCCCTTTACAGAAACAACTATTGACAGAGCAAGTCCAAGCTGAAACCTCAAAAACATTCATTATGTGGAGCAAGTCCAAGGTGAAAACTAAATTCTTGTAAAAAATGTCATCCACTATTACACATTTCCATCATATCAATAAGTTCATGATTGGAGTAAGTCCAAGGTGAGACCTCATAAACATTCATATATGTGTCCTTTACATTTTATTTACCTAAAACCTCAATTCTTGTAAAAATCTCATCTAACAATTTGAATAACATGAGGGAAAGACCAAACCAAGCAGAAGATGACTGTATAGGGAGAAAATTTTTAATGAGCAGATAATATGCTTATTGTACCTTTCCATCAGATCAATAAGTTCATGATCCCTTGGTTTCATTCCCCATTTTGTATCAACAAGAAGACACACTCTCTTTAGACCAACACGCGTAGACACGTACTCTTTCACCTAGAGATTGGAAGTATATTAAAGACATTCAAAAAAAGCAAATTACAGCCAAGGTTACAAGGGAATCATACAGCTATAACCCAGGAAAAGAAGATCATTGATAGCTGCACTGCTGAAAAGGCATTATCTAGTTCATGAACAATGGCAACCAGCAATTACTAAAACTTAGATTTAATAGAACAAGTAGGGTAATTACCACAAAATATAACTTACATTTAACATTTCCAACTAAAGACTAATAACCAAAAGAAATTATAGCTCTAACCCATACCTTCAACCTTTCAGTATGAGCATTTAATAAGGTACTAATTGAGAAGAATGGAAAGAATCCAGAACAGGAAATGCAGTATAAACTGCAGTTCCATTTTAAGTGAGTACTAAAACGACTATTAAAGTTCAAGGCAATACCCTGCTTCAAACCAATTTTTTTTTCCGACACCTATGACCAAAATAATGCATTGAACAGTAATTTTGCTAAAAAGTAAACAGTGGCATAGTGTTCTAAATGATAAGTCTAAATCTGAATCATAATTGCGAAATATTCACGATGACCTAACTCGTCAGTGAATAATTGCAACAATTGTATCTGGATAAAACCAAGCAGACTAAAGAGTGGAATAGAAATTTGTAAAGAAGCTAAAAGCCATTTGCATACTCACAAGCTCCTCCCAAGCTTCCTTGACGTCTTCTTTTGCATACGCAAATCCGTATCCAGGCAAATCGACTAAAGATAGCTTTGGTCCAAGTTTGAAGAAGTTTATAGTCTACATGAAAAACATAAGCTGATAATATGCATGTGCAACTTTTAAGTTTAATCCAAGGACATCATAAATGTAACACCTGAGTAAGTCCAGGCTTGTCTGATGTCCTCACAACACCCCACTGTCTAGTTAATGCATTCAGTAAAGATGACTTTCCTACATTCGACCTCCCTGATAAAAAGATTGAGTTCAATGAAACTCTACAACTATATCATTATCAAAAATAGTCTCAAAGGCACAGCTCCATAAATTTACTATACAACAATGAAATAACTAGAGCAACCTCAATAGGCATGAGAAACATGAAAAAGTAATAGTAAAGAGAACTGAAAAAAAGAATTTTAATGCAGAAAAGAGAAGTCAGCAAGATTATCTGACAGAAAGGAAATAAAATAACACTCTTTCCTACAACCACTTCAAAAACAATGTTTAATTTCATCATGTTTGAGAAAATACAGGAGCCAAAAAAGCGTATATCTTGTCTGACGTGCTAAAAAGTCATGACGAACTAATCTCAAACAGAACATTCTCACAACAGAAACTTCGTAACCAAAAAGCTTTGTCATGTTAACATAAATTAGACAAGCAACTTTCATCATGCAAACCTATGTGTCTTGTACAATGGCTTTAATGTGGAGCAGTGTGCATTTGATGTTTTCTCATACAACTTACACAGTTGTTATGTCCTAATATAGTTCTATGGTGCCAGCAGAAAGTGCACTCGCCATATCATATAAACCCATATCATCTTTACATTAATCAGCTACTGAAAGGCCAATTTATGGATGACAAAATTACTTTATTCAAACCATAAATAAGCAGAAGAGTTCACGAAGAAGATGAAAAAAAATTTTCCATGAGATTTACCTGCAAATGCAATCTCTGGAAGTTCAGGAGGAAATGATGAGGAAATCTTTGCAGCAGCATAAAATGTCAATTTATTTCTAAATACCTGACCAGAAAATTGAACCGAGACAGAGAAAATCGAAAAAGTTAATCCGCAGAAGTAAATTCTTTCCTTGCATAGTTAACATGGATCCACCTAACTATCCTGTATTTTCCTTCAACCCATCCCTCAACAGAAAAGGAGTTCAATACCAGTTAAAAACCCCGTGCAATACATGACATATGAACATACCGTTTCTTCAATCCTTTCCCTTTCAGAGCTTGATGAATAGGGAATATTGTCTAAAGGAGCAGAAAGCTCAGTATTGTAGCCAGCCCTCCTAAATTCAATTTCTCGTCTTCGGCCTAATAACTGTATAAGAATTGAAAAATCACTTTATTCGTAATTTTATCTCTGAGTAGGCTAAGTAGAGTTCGACAAAATATAGACTTTGGTGTTGGTATTCAAGCATAGAACGTCTAAATAGGTAAATTACATTGTCTTCGACAAAGGAAAGGATAGAGGGGCTAGGAATTATTGCTCGAAATTGTGCATTTCTGGACAACTCCAAAACACAAGTTTTTGAGTCATCTTCCTTCTTCTTTTTAACCTGATCTGGAAGGTAAACAAGAGAATAAGTTAGAAAGAGATGAACAACACTTGTAAACAGCTCAGAGTTCTAAAAAGAGCCAAGATACAGATTATTATGAAGACGTATGAATGCTTGATCCAAATGGATGGGACAAACACACATAGCTTGAATCACATATATAATCAACAATAGTTTTAAACTTCACCTAGCTCAGATAAAAGGATTTACTTACAATTTCTGAGTTTCTGCAGCAAATTTTGCAACTTCAGAAAGTAGGTAGAACCCACCTTATCTAATTCAAAAAGTTCAAGTTCAAATTTCCTTTTAAGTAGTTTAAGTTCAATTAGAGTGACTGAATGACATATTGCGCTGCCAAGAGCAAGAAGCAGTAATTTAGTCCTTACCCTGTCACAAATTTCACATAGAGAACCCTGTCACAAATTTCACATAGAGACAATGGCTTGATATGGACAGATAATAATTCTTCTTGTGTTTTCAACAATGTATACCAATATGTCTGTGAGTATACCAATAACTATACCAATATGTCTTTCCCTTCCTTAATTACCAGCACCAGCCCTAACAATGTAAGTGGTCCTACATTCCAAATGTATCCAGGAAAACCTAACTCAATGTTATTTGCATGAACCCCGTTGACATTAAAATATAATAAGAAAGAGGTAAATAGCGATAAGCATGTGCCTAAAGCATCATTTTGATGAACGAAAAATGAACCTATAAAAAAAATGACATCTCAAGATATGTCTGTGGGTGTATGTTCGCATCAGTGTCGAGGGAGAGTGAGAAGGAGGAGACAAAGTGTATCATGTTACTGACTATTAATAGCTGCTGCATCATCGAGCCTCTTATTTGATGTATCATGAGGATCTAGCCTGATCCTTCGCTTTTTCTTCTTAGGCTTTTCATCCATTACTTCTGAATCATCAGTGATATTTTTCTTGTACTGCACTTTCTTCTTGGAAGGTCTTTCAGGAGAGCCGACAGCATGTTTGCCATGGTTCTGCTCCATTTGCTTTGTTACGTCGGATTTGCTTTTAGCAATTTTCTTCAGCTTATCATTCCTAAATCCTTCAACTTCAACATCTTTCAGTTTATCTACAGCCTTTACCTTGGCTATTGACGTTTTCTTGCCCGCCAACTCACTTTCCCTGGATTTTCCTCTTCCAGCCAATGAACCTTTTCTACTCAAATCTCCAAACCCAGAGGAGTTTCCTTTTGTTGTCCGCTTTTCTTCATGATAATGATCATTAAGCTTATTCTTCACGATTCTAGATGAAAACCTTCTTGCTGGGAATCCTACATTGTCATTGGACACTCTTTCCTCGTCTGGAGGCTGATCAGCATAAGTTCTTTTTCTTTTTTTATCAGAATTAGATGGCTTAGAACAACTATTTCCCTTAGTCACGTATCCATTGCTTTCACCATTAATCTTTGATTTGAAACTTCTTTTTCCAAACACCCCTTGCTTTGTCACTTTACTCTGACTAGGATGAGAAGCACCTGTAGTTCTATTCCCTCCAGTTTGAACCTTTTTACTTCTGCCATTCCCTTTTGATTTAGAAGCTAATCTTCCATTACTAGCACCAGAACCCCCAAATGTTCGGTTTGCAGGTTTGAAATTCTTCTCTTGCTTATTATTCTGCAGACTTCTGCCCAGAACCATTGTCGAGAAGTTCTACATACATACCCTCAAAACCCACAAAACCCCATTAAGAAATCCTCTCTAGGACACAATGTTAAGCCGCTACCTTGAAAGCCAACCTATATTAAACAAACAAACCATTAAATGCGCCATTGATGCTGGCACGTGAATTGTTTGATGGTTTGTCAGTGAGAGTGTGAATAAATAAAGTGCAGGGCAACGACAATTAGCATAAAGGCAGCTTCCTCCATAGGCACCATACAAACGTAACATACAGGCAGCAGGCAAGCACAGTATAACAATGTGAAAAAAGTTACCTGCGAGTATCTACAGAGTTTCTGGAAGGTTTGTTGAGTGCTTTTTCCGTTTTCAGTTTGCCGCTCTCTCGCGAGTTTGATTACTCAGCCCTTCACTCATCAGAGTTAATGAAACCACAAGGTAAGCGACGTCGTTGCTTAAGATGCGGCCGTTAAGTTAACTCCGAAACCCACTCCGCAAGTTTTATGTCGTGTCTGGACCCTAACTCGAGCCCAATCAAGAAGGTGGACCGAAACAGGACGCTTTCAGAAAAATGCTTAATAACCCAAGGCAAGCTGATAATTAAGCCCTTTTATTTTGTTCAAGCGAAATGACGCTCGTGTCCGAAGATTGGGGTACAATGAACGAATCAAATATCAAACCCAACACTCCTTTGTTTAAGGTTATTTGTTTATTTGAGAATTATTAATGATACTTTCACTATCATTTGTATTATATGATTTTTATTTATTAAATTACATAATAAAATAAATGGTAATAGTATCGTTAATAAAAATTGGAGTGTGATTAATATTTTTATATTTTTAAACTTGATTTATTTATTTATTGAGCCGAATTCACGAGCTTTTATTGAGTATAATTTAAATCGAGCTCTATTAGTTCAAATATTTATGACGTAAGTCTCAAATATTTTGTTACTAATTGAGTGAAGCATAGCCTAAGTTTGAAACTTTGTCAAACACAAAAATACCATTCACATTTAGTTTGTTTAGTGGGCGAACAAAACTCAAACAACTTCTAACTAAGTTGAACTCGTTCAAGTATTGACTTGTTTAATTCATCTTTCAATCCTATCTGTGAATGCATAAATGAGAGTAGACAATGTCAAAATTGATATTCTATTAAGTTACATATATTTGAGTTTTGTAGTTACACATCCTTAAATTTTGTAGTTTATTTGGAAATGCTTACATAATGCCCTCCCTGTGAAGGATCACATTCACAAGAAAACAAGATAAGGGAACCCAATCTAGTCCGGCTACGGTGAGAAGGAAAAAACAGTAGAACATATGCTACTTCAATGCAGCAAAGTTAGGGAAATATGGAAGACGTCTCCAATACAATGGGATGGCATAAACAACTTCACAGAATACTTTCACAAATGGTGGACAGCAGTCATGGAAGCTCAAGAATCTAGAGCAGTGGCTGACCAGATACCATTGACAATCAATGTACTATGGCAAATTTGAAAAGCCAGGAATGAGAGGGAGTTCAAGTTGTTCAACCACAAAGAAAAAGAACCTCACAAAGTAATTGGGAAGGCACGAGTGGGATGGATGGAGTTCGACGAAGCCAATAGGAAAATTGATCATAGGGGGAGCACTCAAGAAACACCGGCACATAACAGGACAACCTTAATGATGAGGTCGATGGTCTAACTCTGTAAGTTGAGTGAGTCAAGGTTCCGTTTGATCCAATGACATGTACACGAGCTAAAAAGTTAAATGAATCTTTGCAAGCGTTAGTCAAGGTCGTCCAAGAGCGTGTCGGTGTGCCCAAAGCAATTGAAGATTTGGACAATGCAAAGATCGTTAATGTGATCCGCCACACTTAAGGAACAAGCAGGAATAAGGAAGATTGTTCATCAAAATACATACGCACAGAACAAGAAGCAACCGGAAGTTGGCATTGGGATCTTGGCAAGGAATCAATCAGATCAACTGCAGGCTACTTGGGCAATAAAAGAAAGGAAAACTGGAGACTCGGTGCAATACCAAGCAGAAGCAGTCAAGATGGCCATAATCAAAGCTGCAAACCAAAGATGGACAAATATCTGAATAGAGTTGGAAAGCAAGAAGCTGATAAGTTACATTCAAAGTTCATGTCATCAAGGAAGTCGACTGGCTACAATCATTGAAGACATACAATCCCTTAGTACATTGTTTTCACAGTGCTCCTCCTTCCCCATTAACATAGATAAGAATGACAGGATTGTTCAAATTAGCAATTATGCTCTCAACATTTGGTTAGATGAAAAATAGGTTAACCCCAATCTTTAGTGCTAAAGTATTGGAACAGATGGTAGGACCTTTGTCCTTTTTGTTTGGACTATTGTCCATATACTATACATTTTGGCACTACTAATACAAGCTATGGTTTCGAAAAAAAAAAAAGTTGATAAAATGTAAGGAAAACTTGTGATAAATCCATGATTAAAGGGTGACAGAAAATGCATCGACTCTTATTACTTGTAATTAAGGCCACCAGGCTAAGGATTTGGCAAATCATACATGTCTGTGTATGCATAGATTTGGAGATTACATTCAAATTTCTTTTAATTTTTAGAGGAACAAGCACTAAATATTTTCAAGAATTCTCCATGAACCAGTTAACGTTTGAAGAGAAATTTCGTAATATCCAAGTGGCTGTCCCCATTATGTGATATCCCCTTTTCATTTGACCAATCCTACTTCAATGCCTCTTTTTCTAACACTGAAAAAATGCTCAAGTCTTGAATGCAAGCAAGGCGATACACTACTAACTAGCATAGATATGGTCAAAGAGGGACAGTCTACAGGATAAGGCAATGGATGGAGTAGAGAATGGGAGCTCAGGTTGACCCACCCTTGAAGGCAATGTGTGCGCAGATCACCTTGCTGCAATGTTTTTAAAATCGGACCGGACCAACCAATTGAATCGCGAACCGGTCATGCCTTTAGTCCGATTTAATTAAAAAAACAAAGAATTAATTAAATCGTTCAAAACCGGTTAAGAACCTATAAAAATCAAGAGGCTTAATAGATTTTTATTAAGTATTTATTTTCTAAAATAATTATTTTGATTTTATTCAAAATTTTTAATACTAAAATGAATAAAAAATTATTAAACTTTTAAATTGGAATCGAATTGGTCAAACCGTGAATCGAAAAGTTTTTCGGTTCACTCTTCGGTTCGGATTTAAAAACATTGCCTTGCTGAATGGAGTCACCAGCAGAAACTTGAGTTCACAATTCTCACTGGCCCACCAGATGTTAATACAGGAAGTTTAAATGATGAATGAGGGGAGGGGGGGTCTTATCCCACGTTAGTTGTTTTGTAACGGGCCTTTGGCACTCCAATGCACCTAAAGGAAAAAAAAAGGGAATTGAGAAGAAATAAACAATTCAACTATTTACTATGATGCCGTGCTCTAACAAGGTAAAAACTGGAAGTGAACAGTTGCAGGTTATGTTAGTGTAATTGAATAGTAGATTATTTGGGATAATATTTTGAAACTAATATTGTAGTACTTTTTTTTATGCGATATACGTGAGATAAAAAGGTGATTAAAAAAGTATTAATGATACAGTCAAATAAGTTACAATTCAAACAAACCATTAGGGTGACTTTTATTGGTATCAACAAATGGCATACAAATGATTTGTGTGTGTGTGTGTGTGTTTTTTTTTTTGAAATTCTTTGCTGTTGAGGTGTAATTGAATTGGTGACGTCGCTTAAAAGACACATCTTCATTCAGAGAATATATAAATACCGATCAACATACAACTAATTGTTCAAAATTTTGCACCTCGTAGACCTGATTGATATATATACCTATCATCATAAGGTGCCAATCCTTTGGCAAGAAGGAAACAATAGTGCGGATTGTTTAGCTAAAGATAGCCTCAATAAGGAGTCAGGGTTATATCGTTTACAGAGTCCACCGGATATAGTTCGGAGATGGATGAATTTAGATATTGTGGGAGTAACCACCCCGCGTTTAGTATCTATGTACTGAGCTGCTTAGCTCTCCTTGACAACCAAAAAAAAAAAAAAAAAGTGCCTCCTTTTTTCCAGTACAGCTCGTAGACCTGATTGGTTAATTGTATATCACTCGATGCAAACAGTAAAAGCTAAGTCACACGTAGAAAGGATTAAAGAATGATAATTCATCTTTTTCGGCAAAAAGAGAGAGAGGTTAATTAGTGCTATACTTATTTACCAATCAAAGCGCTCTCTACTGCTTAATTATTAAGAGACTCGCGATTGCTTATTTGAGATCTGTCAATGCGTTGCGTTTTTTAACATTTGCAAATTGCAAGACACGCAATAATGTGGTGTGTAAAGATTCCAGTCCAATTATGCGCTCAATAGATGCCAAGTGAGAACAAAATGGAAGCTGATTATTTAGCTGATTTGTGAGATTATAACAGGTAGGTGTGAAAATGGATGTTTCCAGTTTAATACTTATTTAATCGGCATACTAATATTTAATTTTTCTTATTTTTAAAACAAAACCTTAAACACCTAAGCCATATCTCAAGATAAAGTGTGAATGTCGATTCTGAAAGCGGGGAAAATACATTCAATATGAAAGTATTATGAAGTACTTGTGTTGTGGACATGAAATGTTTAATTAAAATCTAACAATTAATGCTCCGTTTGGATTGCATTTATTTGATTTTTTTTTATAGAAAAATTACTATAACAATTTGATACATGTGAAATAAAAAAATGATCGAAAAATGTGTTCACGAAAAATGCAATAATTTTTTTTTTAGAAAATTGCTTTCCAAAATATTTTTGATACCATCCTCTATGACGGTAAAAGTGAGGATGGATTTGTTTGGATAGAGTAGTATTATTTAAAATATTATTTGGAATAATTACTGTAGCATTTTTTGTTATGTGATGTATGTGAAATGAAAAGATAATTGAGAATATAAAAATATGAGTTGAAAAATATATTGATGTAAACGAAATATTATTTGAGATATTTGTGCCAGCCAATGTTTCAATTGGAGTTGAACTCTATGAATAAAAAAAAAAAAGTCGTCTAAAAATGACAAACTGGATCGCTTGCCATGAAATTTCCCCGACGTCACATCAAGAAGAAGACAGCACGACATAGATCAAAGGCACGTCAAGGTAAGTGTCGACATGGATTAACGGCACCTAACGACCGTTGGCACCTAATGACCGTTGTATCTGCCTCTGGCAGCTTCCTTGATGGGGCGGATTCAGCGGACTTCCATTCATTCAACCAGCAGGGCCTGTGTGTGTCACACGGAATCCTCAGTGCAATTTCTCCAGTGACAATTCAATGCCACTTTTATATTTATGTCAACTGTTCTATTTATTTAATTTGTAATGTGCTATTTATTTAAATTTCTTTTATCATCACGTGATAAGTAAAATTAGCACTAAATTTGACACTGAATAATGACATAGAAGATCCCAACTGTGTATGTAAAGTGTAATCAGCGACAGTTAAGGCAAATTAGGTGCCAAAATTCAACTAATAGCATTGATTACAACAGCAAAACAGTTGAACAACTATTTGCCTCAAATCAGCTTAGAAAACTTGAAACCTACTCTTGGAAAACTTATTAAAAAGGTTCACTTCCGCTAACACAAAATTGACCCGTCAAAGCAAGCAGACTAATGAAAGCACAACAGTTTAATATGTTTGCAAAAACAGCGACGTGAGTTAATAATATTAGCCAAAATGATTCAGTCGACTTTTATTGAATATATGTACAGCGAGAATCAAATCGGACTTGGCAGTTGGCACCGCATACATTTGCCGGCTGCTTAATAATGGTGTATACACTTTTGACAGAATAATACAACACCATAACTGGACGCTAATCCATTTCATGCTTTAACGAGTCATTTTTCTTCCCCATGTAAGAGGCTCGACTCTATAAAATAAATAAATAAATAAAAAACTAGTAGTAAAAAATGGTTTAAATCCTGCCTAGGTAATTATCGATAAACCCAGACAAGAATTACCTTCTTCCTCTTGTTTACAATCATGTACATACATGTACAGACAAACACGGACTCTATAATTATGATCACCAAGAAATAAAATTTGTGTAATGATTATGAATCATCATTTGGGTTCACCCAATCTGAATACTTTTTTTCGCCATCGGGTGCAAAGAATCGTCGCTAGCAGCAACTAGAGCCAGAGGTTGAAGCCTGCAATTCCACCCCCTGCTGTTGGCCCAGAATTGCCGGCCTAATTCTCTTTTCCCATAATTCATGAAAGAATCCCGCATCTCCGGCTCTTTTCTTGGCGTTCACGACTACCATACTATCAGTCAGCCGGAAAACGTCCAATCCAATTACGAATTTACCGCTATCCCGGTGACCCTGTAACTCCACGCCCCATTCCTTCTTCCTCTTCAACCTCGCGTTTTCCACCCCTTTTGCCACCTCCGACACCCTCTCAATGATCTTCTCCGGAGAATCCTCCACGGCCAACCGGGCGGAGCTACACGATTCGTCGAACAGCCCGGAAAGGTCCAACCCGGAAGATAACGAGATTAGGTCAAAGGCGTTGAAACTCGTGGAACCTTGAATCACCCGATCATCCTTAATAACCTTGTCATCATTAAATTCAACAAAATCTTCCTCGTAAAACTTCCTCTCCTTGTACCCTTTCTTGAACCAAGGGTCTCGCTTGATCTCCTCAATAGTTATCCTAGTCGCGGGATTGGTGTCCAAAAGACGAGACAAAAACCGTTTGAGCTCGGATGACATCCATTTAGGACATCTATACTCGCCTTGGTAGATTTTCCTGTACATGGCCATCAGATTTGGATCGTTAAACGGCAAATAACCCACCGTCAAAACGTACAAAATCACCCCACAGGACCAAACGTCCACCTTAGCTCCGTCGTATCCTTTCTTGCTCAATATTTCGGGTGCTACATAAGCCGGGGTCCCGCAAAGCGTGTGCAGGAAACCATCTTCTCTTACCTGGTCCGTCACGGCACTAAGCCCAAAATCGGAAACCTTGAGATCGCCGTTCTCGTCGAGTAATAGATTCTCAGGCTTTAAATCCCGGTGGAAAACCCCGTATAGATGGCAGTAACCGACGGCGGAGATCAGCTGCTGGAAATATTTACGGGCGAGATTTTCCGAGAAGCGGCCCTTGGAAATCTTCCCGAATAATTCGCCGCCTTTGACAAACTCCATGACAAAATAAATCTTGGTTTTGGTGGCGAGTACTTCATGGAGTCTAACGATGTTGGGGTGGCGCAGCCGGCGCATGATGGAGATTTCGCGCGTGATATTGGACATCAAGGTGGTGCTGGATACTTTCTTCTTGTTGATGACTTTGATGGCCACGCTTTGGCCATTTCTGACGTCCCTAGCGTGGTACACCTTTGCAAATGCGCCACAGCCCAGAAGTCGTCCGATTTCGTATTTGCCGAATAACGGAGGTTCCGATACGGCCGAAGCCGGAGGGACTTCCTCGATCTCCGGCATAGGGATGCCTGGGTGAGCCAGAGACCGGCTGGGAAAGACGTGTGATTTGGGAGATTATTAAGAAACGGAAGGAATCACCAAAAATAGAAATAGAAGGAAGTAAATGGTGGAGATTTATATTGGGCAGCTGGCAGGGCTGCAGCTTCGGCTGGCTTTCTAGTTTGCTTTGTTGTCGTAGTTGGTTGTGGACCTTGCGCTTGCGGCTGGCGCGTTTAAGATCGTCCAAGTTTGAAAGAACAACCTCCGGAGCGTTTGAGTGGTCTCTATATATACGTCAATTTATTTTTTCTTTATTAGCTCATATATATGGAAAATTGTTACTGCATGATTTGATTTACCTTTCCATAAATGAAAGTCTTATGCTGGAAAGCGGGAGCGGTATACATAGAATACAAGTGTCAATATCCTCCTTCTATCTTTATCTGATTGCGTGGAATATTAGTTTTCCTTTTCTTGAGTCTGATGATTAAAGCACATTTGACCGAAAATGGTAAATGAGTTCTGTTGTTGTTTCCCTTTGTTTGAAAAATTGCTTTTACTTCTTTACCCAAATTACATGTGTAGATGCATTTTTGTTTTTAATAATTATATTAAAATAAAAACATAAGTTGAAGCCATAGCTTAGTAATAATCCTATTACGTAGAAGTAGAATCATAGTTATTAAATCCGGCCCGGGGAGGAACTCGGTGAAAGAGGTGGGTCAACGGGTTATTGGTTCAACCAGTGAGTGAGTGGTCCAACCGGTGGATCACTAAATATATTTAAATATTATATCTCATAAATTTTTATGTCATAACAAATATTCGGTTAGTTTAATTTATTATAAAATCATTAATTCTTATAAGAATTAAGAACCTAAATTTAATTAGTAATCTATCAAATTTCAAGTAAAAAATGTTATCTAAATGTAATTATCTAGTTTATTTATGAATTTTAAGTGCAAAAGTTTATTAAAAATGATATTTGTCTTTAAAAAGAATTGTGTAATATGTTATTTTTTAAGCCAATTGCATAATTTATAGAGTTTGGGGAATAATAAAAGGTTATTAAAGATTCCATATAAATTTTGTTTTGAAAAAATAAAATAACAATAAAAGTCTAATATATAATAAAAGGTGAATACAATAATAAACAAATGGTGATTGGTCAAGCGGTGAGTGAGTGAGTGTATTGTACTAACATATTGGAGATCTAATGTTCGAATCTTCCTTTCAGCAACTTGACGAAATTTCGGCAAAATTTTTCCATGCGGACCGGGTTCCTCATAAAACCGGCCGGTTCATCGGATTAACCGGTTGAACCATTAATCCGTTGAAAAGTCAACGGTTTCAATGCATAAACGATCCAATTGAAAATTCGGCCCGATTCAATTGCCGGTTCAACGGGTTGATTGGTTGAACCGCCGGACCAGGCCAGGTTTAATAATTATGCGTAGAACTCTTAAAAAAAAAAAAAAAAGATCACTTCAAAACTCTTGCCATAATAGTCAAAAATGAATCAAGAACAAAATGGTACAAGAATCCCTTAAAAATAAAAATGATATATTCTTTCTTCTAACTCCCTATCGAGCTTCCAGCATAAATCCTGTCGAATTATCATACTAAGTAGGAGATTATTTGAGATAAACTTTTTAAAAAAAATATATTGAAACACTTTTTTTATGTGGTGTATGTGAGATAAAAGATAGTTAAAAATATGTTTATAATAAAAGTAGATAATTTTGTATAAATAATTTGCTAACCAAATACACGCATTTTTAACTTGGGATATAATTTTTCTTCAACTAAATTCGTGTCGTGTGCATGTATGTGCGAATGTATATACACTCACGCGTACACATATATATATTAAATCTTTTGATCTATCAAAAAATCCTCCAAATTTAACCTATAAGCTTAATAGATATTAAAATGCCAAATAAATGAATATATAAAATTAGTAATTGTACACTAATATAGAAAAAGAATGAAATCTAATATATATAATTTTTTTTTCTTGGAGAAATTAAAATAGCTCTTGATTTCAATCAGAAGTGGAAAATTGTGTAGTATATCACAAAGGAATGTCAACTCATCCGCTAGTACGTTTTTTCTTTTTCTTTTTTTGCATCAAAATGTTGAACATTAGACAAAAACTGAAGCTTCCGAGTACGGATTTAGGAGCACACAATTATTTTTGCTTGACATCATGGACCTTTTATCATTTCTTTTGTCATTTCAACTTTCACAAGAGGTCGAACTTCCTCTGCCGCCGCGGCAGGGAAAGTGGTGGCTGCTCGGAGTGCGATCTCAAGTCAAAAACTCGAAAATGGCCATTGGATCGGTAACGGGCAGCAACACATGGTTGCCGCCATAAGGCCCATAACCACACGATGCTGATTGCGTCGGCAAGAAACAAATAATTGAAGCTAAATTATGAATATGAAGCGTGATTGATTCATTCTACTTTTTAATCAACCAAAACACTGCTTTCTAAAATGATTAAAGTTTTTTTAATTACTATATGTCGCTATCCAAATCAAACTTCCAACCAATAATTGATTAATACAGCAACTCACACAGCCCAGTCCATCCCCCTTTTTTTTCGGTGCTTGCGGTTCTTGCACGGCAGTACCGTACCAGCATAAAGTAAAAGGATTTGTGTGTATTAAATATTAACGTAGATTTTCTTTTTTTCTTAAGCGGCGTGAACTGTGAAACGTGAAATTCGTGTTACGTTCCGTGGTACTATTCCGTTCACGCGCAAGGAGACGTGTAGAAATCAGAAACTTTTTGAGGGAAGAGACAGATGGAGATCAAGTGGGGGGCTTACGCAAATTGCAAAGGAGTTTTCACATGAATTTCGAACGTTACAGAATGACTAGTGGACCATTTCGAACGTTACCTCCTCATCTTCATCTGTCAAATCGAAGCAGCCCCCACCATCACTCGGTCTCCATTTAAGGGCTTCACTATTACTATCTTCTACGACTGTGATGGTAACTGGAAAGCCCCGCCAATTTTTCTGCGCGAGCGATCTTAGATTATGTTTTCAAAATCGGACCGAATATCCACTCGATCGAATTCAGGGGTCAGGAATTAATGGATTCAATCGGGTTCGATCAGAATTGAACCGGATAATGTCATGAATAAAAATTATTTAAAAATTAAAATATTATATATAAAATACATAATAACATGTTAATATTAATAAAGATATATTCATATATATATTTGATGTTTTAAATATATTTAACAAGAAAATACAAATAAATTAGAACAATCAAGTAGTAATTACGTTATTAAATGAGCATTAACAAGTTTAGAATTAAAATTATGGATTTAATTGAAAAATAACACCAAACTTTAAGACAACATTTATAAAGTGTGAAATATTTGAAATATATTAATAATTTTTAACAACCTAGGGGTCAAAACATACTATTAAAAATATTTTGACCTTTCCAAAAAAAAGAGAGACCGGGTTCATATTTTTCCAGTCAAATCGGGTCAACCCCGCTTTTTGATCTGGTTTGATTGAGTTTTTGATTTTCCGATTTTTAGGATTAACTCGGACCAGACAATTGGCCGGCTCCCGGTTCGGCCGGTCCGGTCCGAGTTTAAAAACACCCATACGAGAGAGAACCTGAAAATGATATGTTACACTTGTTTCTAGCTTTTTTTTTTTTTTTCAATAAACAACATAATATTCAGTAACTTGAAAATAAAAAAATGTGGTAGTTATTCGTATGGATACTTTAGAGGCGACGAAACTATTTCGTTTTCTGTGGTTTAGATTTTTTCAACAAACTTCAAAATTCAAATTTATTTTTTAAAATTTTGAATAAGCACAAACCCTAAAACTCTTCTTTTACAGTACCGTGTCATCATGTATTTAATCCAAGCGAAAGCATCCTCCGAGTCTGAGTTCCCGTAAATATAAAAGTTTCAAGACTTCTTTAGACATCGCCTTACCTTAAAATTCCAAATTTCTCCAATAGACAAACTCAAAAAATTCAATTATTAACATTAGGACACTATTTTATAATCAAAGAGTGGTGGAGTTCCTACCTTAGAGCTCGACTGAGGGTGCGATACTTCTATTTAAGTATCGCTTGCATGCACATTTCGCAATCCATCTTTTATATTTTCAATCACATTTTTATTTCATATACATCATATCACAAAAAATATTATAGTAATAATTCGAAATAATTATTTGGAATAATACTCTATCCAAACAAAGCCACCTTTCATCGATAAAAGCACTTTTAAGATGTTTGGTGCCGTTTGGATTGAAGGAGAGAAATGAAAGGAAAGAAGAGGACCAAGGCGGAAAAAGAAAATAAAGGAGGGTACAGGAAGCCTTAAGATTAATTAAGTTGGGCTTATAGCATAAAATTATGTCATTAACTATCTAGCAAGTGTCATAGAGCATTATATATAATAATAATACTAGTAGAATTGGAATGGTGCTATCCTATAATGAGGACGTTGTGTAGCGTCATCCTCCTCTGAATAAGCTAAATCTGCAAGTAGATATGTGATCGTTGGTTGTACTTGGATGATGCTACTCCAGTTGGAAGACACATGACATGATGCTCTAGCCCAATGCCCCAAATGAAGCATCAGCAGGTTCAGGGCATGTACAACTTATTGCCGCATTTGCACCTCCATGCTTCAGGGTAGTACTCGGTCGTCACCGGCGTTCCAGGGGGCACCGGAACATGGACCGGCCGACATGGTGTGCATCTACCGCACTTTGATATGCATCGAGGAGGTGATGAACCGGGACCGCCTAAAAGCTTCCTTCCCCCTGCATCCAGGGAATGCTTAATCTCCACTGCTCCATTATTCCTCTGCCCCAGCGTCTGCGCCTCTTGGATCTGAGTTCGGAAAATTCGTCAAAATCAGTATTAATACTCCACATGTTATTCGTGCTAGTGGGATTTGTTATGCTACTACTATATTATGTGATTTCTGTTGGGTTGTTTGAAAAAAAAAAAGAAAAAAAAGAGGCTAGTCGGACCATTCAGCGACGGAACCAGAAATAATTTGAGGGAGTGAAATACATACATACCTACATGAATAATTTTTTTTTATATACTGCCAATGTATGATGTTTTTTATACCAATAGTTTTAAATTATGTCACGTAATATGAATTAAAATTTGAAATTTAAATCATGTATATATGATATATTTCAAAGTCGTTAGTGTAAAAAAATCACTACACTATCAACGTATAAAAAATTAATCATACACGCA